CCACACCCACACCCACACCCACCCACACCCACACCTACACACCCACACCCATATGACTATTTGCCATTATATTACACTTCGTTCTCCACTAGTTTTTACTAAGGGAACTCATTGTACAAACCTTCACAAAGCTAAGAACGAGATAGACAATTAGAGTAAAATTCGAAATAAGCTATAATATAGGTTATCGTGGTAACTTATACACACCCACTTTATTGTGAGTATATCTATTTGGAGTTCCTTGAACTTTCAAGTAGATATTTTCAAGTATCATGTTTGTGATTCAAAAATTTTTGGTTTTTGGATCCATTTATACTGATACTAAGGCCACTTGTAAAGATTGAGTTAGAGTAACATTCGAAATAATCCATAATATAGGTTATCGTGGTAACTTATACACACCCACACCCACACCCAACAGCAACCAGGAAATCAACGACAACGTAAAACTACGTCTGCATTTAGACGTCGACAACGTCGTAATAATCGATTTGCTGTATTAGCTGACGAAAATGATAATGTATCTGATGTGGAAGTAGAAGTTAAAGATGAATCGATACCGTTAAATATTAATAAGAAACAAACAAAAGATAAAAACAACAAGAAGAAGATCCGTCGATATCTTGAACCAAATCGTATATTAAAATGATTGGAAGACCATTCAAGAAGTTCAAAAAATGCTATAAGTGGTCGTGGTAATCAAGCATATGTATTAGCTTCAACCTCAATTTATGATGAATGGGTTCGAAATAATTATGAATTACAAGTTTGGCAAAATTATTTAAAACTGGGTACTGAACAAAAACATTGGGCTAAAGAAGTCACTCGACGTACAAAAAGACGTGATGATGTCATCAATACTCGATTTGTTCAAAAGAAAATCAATCGATTAACAACTGCTATTGCTGAAGCATGTGCTACTATTTCAGAATTACAAATTCAATTATCTACTTATTGGATGCAAACTAATCCCTGTTGCAAAAGTCTTTAGACAAAATGTTTATTCATTTTTCAGTCGCCTAAACGTCATTAGTGAGAATCAAAAGCAGTTAGCTAAAATCAGATTTTTGTGTTCTTTCCGAATATCTGATCAGAATATTTCTCTGACTTAACATTGATTAGAAATGGGCCAAATGTTTGACAGAGTGAAAAATGATGTCTGTACAAAAAGTCATTCTGCAAATGTTTGTTCATCTTTCAGCCGCTAAAAGTATTTGATACGAACCAAAAGAAGCTCCTTATAGTCAGTCTTATCTGCTCTTCTCTGATATGTGTTCAGAATATCTCTTTGGCTTAAGATTGGTTAGCTGTAAGTTAATACTTGAAAGAGACGAAGAATGATATCTCGACGAAGAAAACACAAGTTTTCCCGCTATTCATTACTTATGTAAGTTGGATTTTGAAGCAGTTCGAAATTGGCAATTTGCAGAGCATTCAATTCTCTATAAAACCATATATGACAATAGGCTTCAACTCAAATGAATGAAAGGTTGTAGATGTTTTTCTGAGAACTGATTGGTACGTAAAATATAATCCTGCCAAAAAGTCAGTTTTCCAAGATCTTCTATTTATAATACAACAGATTGCATGTATTTGTTTCCAGATGGAAAACCAAACTAAATAGCATAGTTTGTAGAGCAAACTTCGCTCTATAAAATTGGCTGATGAAAATATCTTTCATGTTTTGCGTAGAGTAGATATCGATCAAAACACAAAAATACATTCAATAAAATTCTGTACAAACATCATTTTCGACTCTGTCAAACATTTGGCTTATCCCTAAACAATATTGAGTCAATGAAATATTCTGATCAGATATTCGAAAAGAGCACAAAAATCTGATTTTAGCTAACTACTTTTGATTCTCACTAATGACGTTTAGGCGGCTGAAAAATGAATAAACATTTTGTCTAAAGACTTTTGCAACAGGGGTTATTTCTGAAACTACAAATCAAAGATTAGCTCAAACAACAGCTAATATAGTAGCTAAACAATTATCAGTCGATAGAGCACGTCAAAAAACTGTTGCAGGAACTGTAGAAACAGATACAGACGATGAATTAGGTACAGGAACTACAGGAGCTGCTCCAGTGACTACTGTTAAAAATTATGTACGCGAACCCGTTGAACGTATTGAAAAATATATATTAGAATGTATTCATTTTTGTACGCAACATGTTAAAAAGATGGCTCAAAGTCGAATACAATTAGCTAAAGCTCAAATGGAAGAATATAAAGCTTTAGAAGATTTCGAACAAATAGCGACTCCAGCCCAATGGAATACTCATTTCTTGCTGAAACCTAAAATGAAGCTATGGTCAACTAAAAATAAAAATGATCAAACACTATCAAAACGTGTGGAATTAGATATGCCTCCAAAAATTATTGATAAAGTTGATTTTTCTTTTAAAATTGATGAATCAATTATAAGTCAAGATGAAGCACAAGCCATGTATAATCAAATGCGTCAAATTACAAAAGATTTCCGTATTCAAGCAATGAAATTATATGTTCAATCAGCTGCTCGAGAAAATGAAATCTTATCGAATGAAATCAAAGGTATTATTGAAAGATTTCCGAATGAAAATGATGATGGATTTGATGCTGAACCTGGCTTTGTTTGCTTTTAAACATTATAATGAATTACGAGAGAAAAGAATGAAATTAGAAATTGAACAATCACTTTATTTTTTATTCGAACAGCGAGTCGAGGGCGAAACCAACAATCTAGAAGAGGAAATAATCGCTCCGACTCTTATACGTTCGTTGGGCGAGGATTTCTTACTCCAGCAATAATTAATGAAGCCAATATTCAATTAACTGAAGAAGAACATCAATTATTAAAATTGGGACCTAAATTTATATTTAATGATCCAAAAACAGCAGCTCGACGACGTATAACTGAGTTGGCTACTTTGAAACGAAAAATAGAAAAATGTTTTCTGCGTAAAAAAGTTAGCCCCGGTCGTCCTCTTCAACAATTTATGGCTGAATTAGATGTTCTTCTTCAAACATTACATAATGTTCCAACAATAGACAAAATTATAAATAAAGATAAATTATTTGGTATTGAAATGAATCAAAATAAAAGTATTGTTGAATTAATAAATAGTCAAGCTAGTCAATCGAAAATTGTTACGACAGCTAAAGTAAAGTAAAAGAAAAATTATGGAAGATTAGTTAAAAGATTAAAACATAAATTTAAATTGGCTAATGTTATAGTACAAAAATCAGATAAATCAAAAGTATTCCATTCAGGTAAAATTGAAGATTATCGTAAGAAATCCAAGGAATATATGGAAAAGGCTCAAGCATATAAATGTCTTGGAAAAGAAGATCCATTACCTGGATTAATTCAAAGAACAAATAAATATTTGTTAGACTTACGATTAGCTAAATGGATTACTCAAAAACATTACGAATTATTAAGTATTAAATCAAATGAAGTTGAATTAGCTCATTTATATTATTTACCAAAAGCTCATAAGCCTGGTACTCCTCTACGCCCAATTATAAGTGGTCTGAAGCATCCTACAAGTAAAATTTCAAAATTTCTTGATGATTTATTAAGGCCATTATTTGACAAAATGGCCCAAGAAACAACAGTTTCTTCTGGCTTTGAACTGGTAAAGAAATTGCAAGAGTGGTCAATTTTGAATATGAATCAAAATACTATATTTTGCACCATTGATATAGTAGATTTATATACAATGATCCCACAAGTAGAAGGAGTACTGTTGTTAAAGAAAATGTTAGATTATTTGAAAATGAAAAAAGTTGGTGGCTTAAAAATTGAAACTATTATTAGATTAAGTCGATTTGTGATGCAAAATAATTATTTTTCTTATGATGGCCAATTTTATCACCAGATTAGAGGGGGAGCTATGGGATCGCCATTAACTTTTACTATGGCAAATTGTTATATGTTTTTCTTTGAACGACAAATAGCCAAACAAATTAAAAATAGCGGTGGACTCTATTTTCGTTATATTGATGATTTATTTATAGTAATTAATTGGCCTGTTCGACATTTATTAAAACAAATCGACAAATGGAAGAATTTTGATGAAAATATTAAATTAAATCCAAATATTGGCTCATTTGCGACTTTTCTTGATTTATATATGGAAAATCGTGATGGTGTATTATTTACTATTGTTTATCAAAAGCCGTCTTATGAGCCGTATTATTTGCCATTCAATAGTATTCATCCAATACACATGAAAAAGAATATACCTTTTACGATGTTACTTCGAGTAATTGGGTATTGTTCTACGTTTCAAACATATTTGGATGAGCGTGAAAAATTACGTATGGCTTTATTACTTAACAAGTACCCGAATAAATTAATTGAACAACAGTTTAGTAATGTTCTTTTAAAATGTAATATTGACCAACCATTAACAAATTCCAGTTATAGCAAATGTCGTTAAATAGTCATAGATTCACCTATGAAAGAAAAAGTTACGCTTGATTATGAAGTAGTTATGTTTGTTCATTTTACATACTGCTCCACTATGAAAACCTTTCCTGTTAAATTCCATCTACTTTGGGATAAATACTTTGGAGAATCTCCTATTAATGAAGTTAGACCTATTCTTGGCACTCGAAATGTGAAGAATATGCAAAGACCTCTAGCTCTTAATATGATATGAATTTTTAGAGGCACATTTAATTATGATGTTCTTTTTGTTACTGTATGTGGATATATATCAGCAGAGCTGTTATAGCTAAAAGTAAATAAACGATATAATTTACACTTCCAAAGACAAATAAGTGACATTATTCAGCTATAAGTTCACCATCACGTACACGCACTAATATATCGACAAGAACCATATTTAACCAATTGATCAATTAATTAATCTTTTAACTGATGATTATTAATTAAGTTCATCAAGCAAAATTTATTGATCAATCAATTATCTATTTACTTGTATGGGAACTATATACTGTACTTAGTAAGGTTCCACTTGACACTGATTTTCGTCTTTTAGTTTTATTGTTTAGTTAATATTGTTTGTTAATTTTTATCTTTCTTTTTGATTTTATTGGATAAGTTTCTATGTTTTTATGTTTATTTATTTGTATTTATGTGCTTTTATTAGTTGTCAATTTATAAGTTTTTATCTTATTGTGTAGCCTTTATTATAGTTATTGCCATATTAGTGTTTTAAACATAGTTAAAGTTGTAATTAGTTTTTAAGTATGATTCCTTTAAAAAAATGTAATGCAGAGTCCTGATGAGTGTTTCATTATTTCAATAAAATAAACATGAAACGCGTTGGCTAAATTAAACTCTGCATTCTCTTTTTATTATTTCATAAAGCACGAATTTTCAATTTGTCAAATTAAATACGACTTCATCGGTTGCTGAAAAGCAAGAGTTGAGACTAGCAGATTGATTTGTATCGGAGGGATATAGATTGATCTGTTTCTATTTGATTTACCCACACCCACACCCTTCTTATTTTGATATTAGCTTACAACACCATATACGGCCAGTAAGTGTCTTCTTAAATGCCATTCATTACATACTATTTCTTTTTTAAAAACAAAAAAAAACAAAGGATCGACTCTATATAATGGGTACAAGAAATGATTTTGAATTGTGTCGACAATATGTTATGAATTATAT